TGGTTCAGTCATTGGCGCCGAGTACGTGTCTTTTCTATTGCTTGGCCACTGCCGACGCTGACATAGTTTGTCCAGACAAAAGAGTCTGGAAGATGCTCGGCGCAGAGTGACAGAACTGACAAACCGACTCGCAGAAGCCACCATCTCATAATGCGTGGCGTGTACCATACAGATTATACGTTTAGCTTACGCATTCGCTCCGGGGTTGAAAAGAACATATCTTGAACATAAGCGATCTCACTCGAACGAAGAAGCATATGGAGAGAGAAAAGTGAATCTCACGAATAAGATACAACGACGGACACCTATATCGATACACACATTATATACGCCAGAATCAACGAACCCAACCGACCAAACAACCGAGCGAAAAGCAGGGAAGAAACTCAGTATGGAAGCGCATGAGGTACGAGAGATGAAGAGACAAGATAATCAAAGAGAAAATGAGATAAAGAAAACGTAAACCAAGACAAAACTAATCCACGATCTCCTCGAACCTCGGCCGCTTCCCGCCGCCATCTTCACCGCTGTCCTCCATACCTCTCTTCCCCCTGCCACCTCCATCCATCCCTGAATCTGTGAAGAATCCAGACCCGTCTGTCGTCATGATATCTCCCATTATCATCTGATACGACTCTTCCGTCAGGCCAAGCGCCGCAAAGGGGCTGACCTTGGCCGGATCGCTTCCGTCGTCTTCGTACGTCCCGAACCCGTTGAAAACAGCGTTGGGCGTCTTGGTTCCATTGGGGAATCCGACGGCATGTTTACTCGACGAGGCGCCGCTAGACGACTCTCCGTTGTCGTGGTGGTGATGCATATAATCGAGCATATGCGCGTCGTTCATGGGTGGAATCGATACACCGCGCGGGAACTGGCCTAGTTGGTGAATCTGCTTCAGGTGCATAAGATGTTTCTACATACTTGGATTAGTATCGTTGATAGACAATGTAAATCGCAACACTCACCTCGAGCATCTCGAACAACCCTTCCTTTGAAAACGGCTTGGGCAAAATATCGTTCATCCCAGACGAATAATAAGTCATAATCTCGTTCGGCTTCGAGTTACTCGTCATGGAAATAATCGGCGTCATATGATCGAACCGACGAATGAGTGACGTCGCCGACACACCATCCATCTTGGGCATCACGATATCCTTCACACACAACACCCCTATCAATCTCAATTACCGGGAATCGGGGCCGAAAATGACGCACCATCAATACTAGATCATACTTTTCCAAATTCATCTTATCAACCGCGCCAACGCCATCGACCGCGACATCGATCATGCACCCAAACACTTGCAAAAACTTTTTGCTCAGACGCAGATTGACCGCATCGTCGTCGACGAGCAGGACGCGAGGCGGAACTGCCCAGCCGGGGACGTATGTCGAGCGACGCACACGAAGGGACTTGCCTCCACCACCTGGTGCGGTACTCGGTCCGGCCCCACTCGAGGAGGCTGGCGTCGGACCGTGGTAGTTGGCTGGAGGGCTGTATGAGCCCATGGACATGTCTTTTGGGTGCATCTGCTGCTGCTGTTGTGCCATCTGAGGCTGCGGTTGCGGATGATGTTGTCCTTGCTGGTAGTCCATCCCGCCGCCCATTCCTCCTTGTTGATTCTGGCCTCCGTCCCGTGGAACCAAATGCCCCAAGGTGATAACCTGCAGCCCCTTGTGCGACTCTTCCTCCTTGCGCTGCTGTTCGAACATCTGACTGTTGAGCATCGGCAAAAAGCTCGAATGCGTAAACGGCTGCTGGTCTGGTCGCTCGCGTTGCAAATCCTCTACACGCCCGAGTACCTCTTCGCGTGTCATGGCCTGCATGGGTTTGCCCCCGATCATGGTCGCCCCATTCGTATTCGTGTTCATCGTGTTGGGAACGCTCGGGCCCATCGGTCCAGTAGCACCCGAATTCATCTGCCCCGTGGGGGCTGGCCCCATGTTTCCGGCACCGCTTGGGCCCATGTTTCCGCTCGACATGCTGCCCACCATGCCCGGCGAGGCGCCGCCCTGGTTGGCGCTCATGCCCGAGTTGTCCGTAAAAGACATGCCAGAACGCTCTGCGCGGCGTGAAATCTCGTTCATTTGCTCAAACGACGCACGCGCCACGTCCTGTGGGCCGAGATCGAAGATCTTGTTCGCGTCCGCGCTGTTCATAAACTGGTGTTGCGGATCCCCGTCTGGCGGAGGCGTATTCCCCGTCCCGGCCGCATTTTTTTCTATCGGGGCTGTTAGAAAAAGGAACAATAACGGAAATCTGCACTGACTGTTTTCCATGCCGATAAAGTACCCGATAAGGTTCTGCATGAGATTATCCTGGTTGGCCATATTGCGCTGAAAGTGGACAATCTCCCCAAGCACGTTCTGGTAATTTGTCTCGAGATTGCGTATATGCGCACTCATGTCCTCGGCAGTGCGACGCAGACCTTCGATTTGCTCCTCGTGCGCACGCCGCGTGGCCTCCTGGCTGGCACGCATCGCCTCGACTTGGGCGACCAGCATCCGAACGGTGTCGTTCTCGCGCGTTGGGTCGGACCCCGAGCCCGAGGGCGAAGCCGCCACATCCGGCACGGGAGATGCGACTTCGGTCTTGGTTCCGTTGGATTGAGCGGGTGTCGCGGGCGTAGGTGCGGGGGGAGCGCCACCCTTGTTAGACTTGCGCGCGGCTGGGACTTTGCGTTTGATATTTTCAAGCGCATCTCGGTCATCGGCCCGGAAGTCGGGGTGTTTGAACGTCCAGCTCTGGGGAATGCGAGTGAGCAGCGGCAGAAACGAGAATCGGGAATACGCACCTGATCGCCATAGCCCATTCCGCCTGCCTCGGCCTCGGCATTTTTGAGCTTGTGAAAGTCGTACTTGTTGAGCTGACGGACAAACGAGGCGAAATTGGAGTGCTTGAACATGCGGGGGAGGATGGACTTGGTGAACTCGGTGACGTCTTTGACGACAAAACAGTCGCCTTGAGGACCCCAAGTAACGACGTGTCCGAACTGCGGGTCTTCGAGCATCCTGGGAAGTGTGAGCGCGAGAAACAAAAATAGGATGCGACTCACTTGTAGAGCTTTTTCACGAAATCGCTCGTAGGGGGCATGTTGTCGTCTACATCTTTCGGCGGCTCGGGGACACTAGGCACTACGCGGGAGCTGTTTGAGCGCGAGTCTGCATAAGTTTCCCGGCGGGTAGGATAGCCATTGTACGAAGTGTAGCCGCTGCCGTTGCCGCTCTCGACTGGGGGAAACTCGCGCTTTTCGTCCCGGTGCCAGCTACTTGATGGCGGCGGGTGTATAGGTTCGAGCTGGGAAGGCGATGGAACCGGATGGATATGTGCGTTGTAGGGTGCAGGACGTTGGGTAAGCAGCGGCGGAAAGGGGCTCTGGTACGAGGGCGTAGGCAGCGGGGGAAGCGTCAGGTTGTTGCGGCTATAGGACGAATGTGGGTGGTGGTGCAGGTTGAACTCGCGGCCCTCCCTTGAACGATCCATAGCGGGCAGCCTCGGCCTAGACAACGGAAGCCAGTCGACAAAATTCGCGGAGGGGGTCTAGACGATCCGCACTGAGCCTCGAACGAGGTCGGCCGCCAGCCATATAAGCCGAGACCCCAGACTAATCTGCCTGACGTCATCCCACGTTGCCCCCTCCCACGCCTTTGACACGCTCCACTCCCCCCTTTTGCCCCGTGGCCTCCTGACCGTATCTCAATCTCTGTTTTACTCGAATGTCTTACTCCAATTCCTCTCCAGTCCTTTTCACCTAATGCTTTACGTCTCACAGACCGCCGCAGACCACACCGCCAGCACTGCCGATGCGCATACACCTGCCCTCCGCCACCCCAAGCTGTCAACCCTCAATTACCCGTGCTTCGACCGCAGCTTCGAACACGCGAGAAGTAAGCGCCAGACACTGAAACTGGATACCTGGATCGAAGTGCGGGACCGTCGCACCAAAAGAATCAACGCGTATCCCCCCTCGATCTCTGCCTATCTGTGCTTGCCTTCGTTCAGACTACCCTTTTTTCAGCACTAAACCCTGGATCACGCGAACAGATGCTCTCAAAAGACCGAATGTCTCACCAGACAAATCGACTCGCATAATAATTGCCTGGCAACTCCCAGGTCATTCTTTGCTCGCACGCAATCTTCCGCTCGGCATCCCGGCACGGCAACTAGATCGACAACCCAACAATCATCGATAGATGCGGAGTGCTCATCAGGCCGAGTCTTCTAGCCATCTTGTCGTTGTTCTTGTGTTATATAACCCCTAGTCTTTTTTGATGCACTATATGCGCATATGTCTGACCACGACAGGGTCGGTTATCGTTGCCCCTATACAAGTCTTCTAGGACTCTGCCCCAGCACAAGCTGGGCCTGGGAGTCGAGCGACCTAACTAACAGTTCGCCATTTTGCATCGAAGCTTCATAGATCAACACCCCTAGACGCAAACGAGGTGAATTCACCGCACACGAGTCTCTGTTCGTGGACTTCCAAATCCCATGTGCTCAAATTTTCACTGACCTGTGGGCAGCCAATCTTGGGTGGTCATTCTCACAAGATACAATCCTTTCCCACTCGATTGACCCAGGAATGCAATCCAACACGTTTGTAGGCGCTTGACTGTATGCAAAAATGACGTTTCGGTTTCATATCCTGAAACAAATGCCTGCCCCGTAATGGCGTGGTGCGCTGTCGGGCGTTCAGCGAAGACTTGGTGTTACCGCGCTTTTCAAGTTCGGGTATCGTCGCTTTGAAATCCCACTAGAGCAAAGCGTGCATACTCAAAACGGACTTCTGGTCGTCATTGAGGCACAGAAGCTGTCAATGTAACTATCTCTATGTTCAGCCCTGTTGGCTTAGATAAACACTTATCGCAAGGCACGAGTGACTGATCAAGAAACCTTAGGGGTGGAGGAGATGTTAATTACTCGTAATGTAGATAGCCCCTAATGAAACCAGGCAAAACCCGGGTTCAAGATACACATTTATGTCGGATGACAAAAAGTCTAGTCCTAGCGAGGGTTGAACTCGCGACCCATGCATCTCATGCCAAATGAATGAGCCCAATCACGTTTATAGGTTTCCCATAAGTACATTGCTCTACCACTGAGCTATAGGACTATCACTAAGGGTCCCTCCTAATGCGTAACGTAGGCTCAACCGAGTTGAAATCGCTCTCATCGACTTGGGCTGGACTTCGGATCGGATCGCGATCCGCAGACTGTTATTTTTATCTAGGAGACAATCATCCATAACAAGGCGGGCGGTCCGACCGGGACATGAAGCGCACTACCCCGAGCGAATTACGCTTTCAGTCGTTCTCCCTCCCGACTACTTCCGCGCACGCCCGGCCCGCCAACTCCGCTCGTCCGGACGACCCCGCCAGTTCTCTCCATGCGACCTTCAAAAAGGAGCCAAAGCCGATACTTTAAAATACCTCCCCCTCCGTACGTCCTTTTTGTTGGCTATATGCGCGCGTATATACTTACGTTCTTTTTTATTTTTGGTGAAACGTCCAAAAAGGTTAAACCTTAGACCTGACACGTGATAGATTGACCTCTCGGACCTCAGTTGGCTTGGGTGAGTGACCAGTCAGATGAGCGTCATATTACATACGGTCGTCTAGAGTTTTTGTATATATAACTCACGCCTACTACTCGCGTAGACTACACGACCCCCACCACCTCCGCTTGCACACTGCCATCATGTCTGAAGAGCCTCCCAGCACTGATCTCATCACTCTTACCCGGTAAGGATCCTTGTAATCTTGGATGCAAACCTTGATCACTGACGAGTGTCCCCAGTTCTGTGTTGGCGGAGCAGTTCCGGCTGGGTCCTGCGGCGACCGGCGACCTCACGCTGCTCTTGAACGCGATTCAGGTCACGTCCAAGTTTATCGCGACCAACGTGCGTAAAGCACGTCTTATCAACTTGTAAGTCCATCATGTCCTCTTTCTCATTCATGTCGCAAAGTATCGATTGACATGAACCTTTATTTGCAGAGTCGGACTGGCAGGCGAGACGAACGTGCAAGGTGAAGAGCAAAAGAAGCTCGATGTGCTTGCGGACGATATCATGGTCAATGCGCTACGCGCATGCGGCAAGACCTCGGTTCTCGTTTCCGAAGAGCGTGAGGAGGCTGTTATCATTGAGGATAGGTTAAAGGTATATCTTTCTGTCATCGTTTATACGATACACTTCGAGACTCATGACTTGGGTAGGGTAAATACTGTGTTGTGTTTGACCCGCTGGACGGTTCGTCGAATATCGACGCTGGTGTGAACATCGGTACTATCTTCGGGATCTACAAAGTCGTGAGTACTGGTCCATTTCGCTCTCTTGAGTATGACAAAACTGATCCCGACCATGCAATACAGCAAGAAGGCTCCAAGGGTACGGTCGACGACGTACTACGCCCAGGCAGCGAGATGGTCGCAGCTGGATACACCATGTACGGTTCTTCCGCCAACCTTGTGCTCACAATGGGCAATGGTGTCAACGGCTATACACTCGATAACGCGCTTGGCGAGTTTATCCTGACCCATCCGGATGTAAGTTATATGCGCCGCTTTCAAGTCTAGATCATAAACTGATGCGATATACGGATGCTGTAGATCAAGATCCCTCCACGTGGAAAGATCTATTCGTTCAACGAGGGTAACTCGGTGTACTTCCACGAGCCAGTACTTAAATACCTCGAGTCGATCAAATATCCTCAGGGTGGCAAGGCGCCATACTCTGCTCGTTACATTGGGTGAGTCTGATTCTACCAACCAGCCACGACTAGATCTGACCTTGGATATTTAGATCCATGGTTGCTGATGTTCACCGTACGCTCCTCTACGGTGGTATCTTTGGCTATCCTAACGACAAGAAGAGCAAGAGCGGAAAGCTGCGCATCCTGTACGAGGCCTTCCCAATGGCGATGCTTACTGAACAAGCTGGAGGCGTGGCGATTACTGGCACTGGGCGTATCCTCGACATCAAGCCCACGAGCATCCACCAGAGGTGCCCGGTGTTCCTTGGTAGCAAGGAGGATGTTGAGGATCTGGCTAAGTTCTACAAGGAGTATTCGTAATGTAGATGGAGTAAACAAAAAAGTGTATCATTAATGGACAATTTATGAATAGTTTTGATTCCTACAGCGAGGGAAGAGCGCCGGGGAAAGAGCGCCCAATAAAGTACAAAATAAGGCCAAAAATACTCAAACACTCATACAATAACGAAAACGCCTAGGTAATACATAATGACAACTGCCCAAAGAAAAAGTCACTGGGATTCAGACTGGGACTGAGGCTGCGATGGTTCATAATCTCCGTCCGAACTCTTATCATCCAGGTCTCCAACCCACTTGGGAAACACATCTGGCCACGTCTTCTCCCAGACCTTCGGGCTTGCTGCTACTCCTCGCGAACTTGATGTGCAAGTTCGCTTCCGGGGCGTCCGACTTCTTGCAATACTATCCCCCTTAGGGGTCGACCCCTGCGGCTTGGATTTAGCAGGAGTAGTCGTGGAAAAAGGCGGAAGAGGGGGAAGAGGAGCGGATGTATGCGTCGACGAATCTGCGCGTTTCCGCTTTGGCGTAGGCTTGACAGTTGCAGTGGCTGGAGCCTCGGTCGCTGGGTCGTTCTCTTTTCGTCTTTTCTTGATAGGCGTAACCAGCTCTTGGCCCCACTGCTTTTTACCACGAGCAGACGTTGGTACAGAGGTCGGGCTATCGGCGGGGTGTTGGGATTGAGAAGGCGGCGGGGGAGTCTCGGGAACGACGGTTTCTTGGGTAAATACATCCCGGTTCGTACGTTCGTTCCCAACGAGACTGGGCCCGCTACCAGTCAAACTGGGTGCCTTCGGGCTCAGTGGCTCGGCCTTGACCTCCACATGAGCCGAGGGAAGAGCAGGCGCGGGCATGTGTGGATTCGATTTAGTAGCTGGTGTATGCGCACGGGCTGGAGCCTTTGGTGTCGCCAAGCTGGCGGGTGGACGCGGCGTAGTGCGCCCGGTTGGTGTAGGTGTACGGGCAGCTTTACTAGTTCGTGCCCGTTTTGCCGCTCGATCGGCTTCTTGATGTGCGTCTGGTTCGGTCTCCTGCACTTCTCGCTTGCTAGCTGTACCTATGTCTGTTGGCAGGGGAGAAGGGGCGCGAAGCGGCTGGGTGTCTTCTGGATCTGCTGGGCGCGTGCTATCGCAATTGACATCGTGTGTCGACTCGCTAGGTGGTTGATCGTCATTGGAAAGGGCTAACTGATCCGCTAGTGTGCCTGGACGTTCAGATGCGGCAGCGCCATCACCGTCTTCACTCGAGCTCCACAGTTCATCCTCTTCCTGTGGTTCGGGGTCGGGCTCCTGTCCATCGTTGAGGTCACTGGACTCGCGTTTGGCCTTCGAAACTCGGCCTTTACTCGCCACATGGCCTTGTGACTTGTTTTTCTTTGTGCGAAGGGCAGGGGTTTTTCCAAGCTCGTACACGCGGCAGACTTCCACATCGACCCCAGCGCCTAGAAGGACGTCAATCCAAACCTGCCACGACAACAATAATGAGCGTGCTGGAAGCAATAGTGTCCACAACCAACCTTTTGGGTTGCGGACAAGTTGTCCCCAGGCCCTTTGACTTCGACAAACTTGCAAGTCTTCTCGGAGTGGTTCCATATGAAGAGATCTGGGACGCCACCACCCCGATTCGCGTACTCTTCTGCGAGTAACCGGCATATAGTAGTTAGAGCCCGGCCGCCGAGACACTACAATGTTAATGGATCAGTGCGGTGAGACAATGCGGGGTTGCACGATTCTTACGTCTACAATCTCGAGAAGATCCTCGCGCCCGAATTGTTCCCAACGCACACCGATGCACCACGTCTCGTTTTCCCTTTCGCGTTCATCCACGGCCTCAACGATCCGTCGCGCAGCACTTTGATCATTGACTAGTTCGGAAAGTCTAGCGTTAATCGAATCTTCTCGCGCGGACACGAAAGAATCATGGAACAAGTCCAGCGGCGCGGACTGGTAGGGTGTTTCGAATGCTCCTGGAACGGGCGCAAAGAGAATGTCCCAAAACAGTAGTCCGAACAATGTTGAGATGATGCTGCCTTCTGAATGAAATCTGGTCTCGAAATTGTTAGTTGAAGATATATGGGGGAGTCTGGCCAACTTACCCTCTGAAGCCTAAGGTTGCGTAATACTCTAGCGCAAACGTTTCAACGTTCACCTCGCCTTCTTTACCAACCCAGATTGATTTGCCTGTCCAGGGAACTTGATGAGCCTTGGAATCGACCGCAATTGAACTAGTAGACGCATGACAGTCTGGTTTTCTATCCGGGGCGGCGCTCTTGGCATGCGGCAGGGGGGTAGTATTGGTATCATGGACCTGAGCGGAAGAGAACGGCGGTTTGAAAACTCGGATGCCTTCTATCCTTGTCAAAGTTGCAGTCTTGAGTTCGGCGTCACCATTGTACTGCTCCTCAGGCGGTATACGCAATTTCTTCTCTACTGCCCTTAGGCGTTTAAGTAGCTGGGGCCGACTGCCTGCAAACATTAGGGTGGCGCATAAGCGCAATATGCACTGACGTTGAGTACAGGTCATACCTAGATGCACAAGTTTATCGTTCAATCCTTCGATAAGAACATCGCGAGCCTTGTTCAAGTTGTCGTCTCCTCCGCCCATATATCTCGTATATATCAAGGCCATCCGGTCATACCAGCCGCCCCGCTTGCCACGCCTCCATCGTTTTTGTCGAACCAGGGCACAAAGAAGTTTCAATTCCATCTCGTACTCTTTCAGGAGACTGAAGCAATGAACGGCCTTGTAGACGAGCCGGGTGAGGATGTGGCCTGTCCAGCAAGTTAGTGCGTAATGAAACATAGATCTGTGTCGGTTTTACCTTCCTCAAACCGTTCTAGTCCTCTCTCGCAGAGAGGCTTGTCCTGAAAATAGGTAACCAGTGATTTCCACCGATCCCATGTTCGTTTCCAACGCTCAACAACTTCTTGTGCCGCCTTTAAACGATCAGGCTTGATTCCAGCAGGAAGGCCATTGGGTCCTTCACCAAGCAAATTTTCGATCTCGTCCATGAGCTGAAGTGCTTCCATGTACCGTAGCAGATCTATTCGCGTCTTGAAAATATCGG